GCCCCCACACGGTCCCCCGGCCCCGCCGCTCCCGCTCCGGCCGCTGCGACGGCCCAGGGAGACACAGCAGCGTGCCGGAGCCACCGACATAAGCGACTAAAGACGTAAAGACAGTTGTGAGAAAGAGCGAGAGAAGCACGCCGGCGGAGCGGGTTTTGCGCGGGGCGCTGAGGAGGGCGCGCAGGGGGGCCGCGGACAGGGCGTGCTCGGTGTCTGTGGCGGAGCCGGTGCCTCATCGGCGGGCCGGGAGCCGCCTGCCCCGTGCTCCGGCGTAGCGCAGGTAGAGGCTTTCTGCTGCTCACCGGCTGGAAGGGAAATACCTGTTAGGGTTTTAACTCGCTCTGCTAGCACCCGATTTATCTCTGCCACTGTTGTGTCCGTTCGCTGTCTTAAATTTCAAGATAAATACATTTTATTCGAGTGTTTTCTTTAAAAAAAAAAAAAACACCCCAAACTCCGAAACTTTTACTTTTAACCGTGCCACATTTGGGAAAGCGTCATTCTAGCTTGACATTTTTAGTCTCCTTTCACCTCTCTGTGACTATCTTGCATTCAGAATAAATCATGACATTTGTAACAGAACATACAGGAAACCACGAAATCAGTAAAACAAAGTGTGTTAACATTGGAAGTATGCATGACAAGCTTTTATTTATCTATTTACTATTCGTTATTTGTAAATTATTTTTTGTCCAGCCAGACCTGTACAGAAATAACAGCACTTGAAAAGTTCTGTCAAATGCCAGCACTGATTACTTGATTTCTGACATCATAAGAAATATATATGTCTACATAATACATGTACAGGTTGCGAATGCAGCGAGAGACTGCGTACAGATACACATGTTTGCTTTGAAAGTAGTTCACTGTGAACATCCTTGCTTGAGTAAAATAGAGTGGGCTTATGGGGATACTAATTTGAAAGTATTTAATTGGTATCAGTGCACTTTCTGTGTGCCCTTGCTTGCATTTTTCAGGTGAGAAGGAGGTACACCATGGTAGTCATAAATATTTTCTTTACTTGATGAAGTGCAAATACTCATGACTATAGCTAAAATTAAATCTGAAGGTCTGCTGAGCTACTTGTACAGCAGCATCAGCCTCAGATGAGAAGGGTCACACTATTGGAAGCAATACAGCAAAATCCAAATCCCTTCTCTACTGAACTTCTAAATAGAACAAGATGATCAGCAGCCCAGGGGAGGCTTATAGGAGAGTAAAAGGAAACAAACATAAGATGTTACTGTAAAAGAAATTTTGCTCTAATAAATTCTGTTTAAAAGTAGATGCTGGCAAAATGTCCCTCACAGGTGCTTTATCCACACAAAAATGCTAAAATACAAGACATGGGAGCTTCAGGAAAAGAGTGGAAGGACCATGTACAGGAAGTCTGACATCTTCATTCTTTGTTATTTTGGCTTCACACAAATGAGTTCTGTGTAAGAGAAAGAAAGCCAAGAATATCAGAAAAGGAACTGCAGAAGAATGTAACTATGTATTTTTCTTGTTTCATTGCAGTCCTCTGTTTCTAATTATAAGCCAGCTGCTAAAGTGACTTCATTCAATAACCATTTTGATTTGATCCTGTCTACCATTCTAGTCTGACTCACAGTTCCAAATCACTCCAATCACCTATGTGATTCAAAAGAAACATGATTCTAAAATATTAAATATTCGTTTTTCTTCCCAGAAAAAGAACTCTTACCAAAAAAAGCCAAACTTATAAATACAATTTCATTTTTTTCCTAATTAAAACTTGGATTTTAAGAAAACAGAAGAAAAAGAGTTTTTGTATGTCGCAGCCTTTTTTCATGTACAGGTTCATATAATTTTCTCTTTTATAGACATATTAGTAAAGTAAAGAGAAAACACTTTGTATTTCAGGTATACAAGAAATCTTGTGGACAGTGGAAATGGAAAGTTCAACTTGATGATCTTGTGTTGGGGTGAAGGTCATGGCAGGTTTGTATTCAAAGACTGTGACTTCAGCAAACATATAAATTCCCCATGTCTTTCACTGTCATAAAAATAGAGGAAAAAGAAATCAGTCCTATGGGAGCTATCAGAAGATGTCTGGAAAGTGAGCAGTGCAGAGCTCCTATTAGTCCAGCAGTCCTGAATATCTGCTGTAACTTTTTCAAGTTTGTACTTCATGGCCATTTTTAAAGCAGTCTTTTAAAAATGCATTGATTTTCTACAAAAGCTACACTTCTCTACTGTCAGAGAAAGTTTTTTGTCCCAGAGTTACAGTGATTTATATTACCCTGTTCAACCTGTCCCAAACAACAGACCCATAAAATACCCAACCTCAGAAGCAGGACTCACTGCAGTTTAAATAGTCTTCGCTCTCTCAGGGCGTTTAAATCTGCCTTTGTGGCAAGATGAGAAAAGTAGATTTGGATTAGAACTGCAGATAATGAGGAGGGAGCCCCTCTCCAGAACTGCTTGGCTTTCTCTAGATTCCTGCATCCCATCTCTTCCCTCAAAATGCATCATAATGCTGATGTGGCCTCCTGAGTTATGTGCCATAGACTGAACGCTTGGTTGTGTTGTCCCACACAATGCCAGGGCAGGATCTGTCTCTTGGAGGTCTTTCACAAAGTGTGGGCTAAAGCAAAAAATGCAATAGCAAAATATGAAGGTTTTGACTGAATATTCTCACATCTAAATAGAAAACTTAAGGAGATGTTGGAACAGTTTTTTTTTTGCTTGTTGCATGTACAGTATTCTTTAGGGGATGCCATAACATGATACTCAGAGCAATATAGGAACTGAGCTCACCACCTCCATTCCTTCTGGGCTATTCCCACATAGCCTGTAATTTATGTTAAACTGTGTTTAAGTTGTATGGGTATTTGTTACAGCTAGACTGAGACAAGTTGTTCTTGCTTCCTACAAGAAGGTCGGATTTTCTCATGTTTTTTGGAAAGACCATGATAATTATAAAAAATAATAATAAAGTGGCATTTGTGAAGTACTCTGTTCCTGAACCAAGCTCTGCTCTCTCAGCATCTCAGTTTGCAAGAAATCCTAATGTTTGTTGGCTAGAAACAGTAATGTAAAAGTACCAAGTTTTTGATTGAAACTCATTAGTGCTGTACTTTGGAGGGTCAAATTCCCCCTTCTCCTTTGCCCCTGATGAGTGGAGAGCCCTCCCTTTGTCCTCATCCCATTTACTTCTATAACAGTTAGCCCTGTACTTAAAAAAACCTAACCCAATACTAAACTAAATATCTAAACCATATGTAATCTCTAAATGTGGCAAACAAAACCCGCTTCAGAGCAAGAAGAGAGATCAAGAAAGCAAACAAGTCCTACCATATTCTGTTCAGTTTTTATACATGAAAATGCCAGTGAAATTAACAGCATAGTATATCTGATTGTATTTAGTACATTTATGTACCATCATTTTTCAACAATGTATATGAATCCCAGCAGTAAAGGGGCTATAGAAATTAAGCAGAGTTAGCTTGTTTCTTCATATTTTGGTAGCGAGAATGGTGGATTTGCAAAGAACAGATACACTTGCAATACTTACACTGCCCTCTGCCTGGGATGGTGGTAGAAGCACTGTTTTGTTTCTTGGCCCAGAGGAGTTTTTGCATTCTGAAGAAATTTTCAGCCCTACTCCTTTCTCCAGACTCTCCTTGCATTTCTTCATATCAAAGCCATAGGTTGACAAGTATCTGACTTTTCTCCGAATCCTGATGTGAACTTATCTCAATATATTTCTGTAGTAGCAGTTTTAAGTAGACATCCCTTAATGCATGTCCCTTGTCCAATGGAATTTCATTCTCAGGTTTTGTCCCCATACAATATGCTACGTCATCTATCTTGCACTGAAATTAAGTATGCATATCACACTGAGTTTGGTTATTCTTTTTACATATATAGCAGTATCCATGATCACACTGACTCACACTGCTTTATGAAGATCCTCCAGGGAAATCTAAAGGAGACTCTGTTTGAATGGCCTGGGAAAAAAGGAAATGGTGAAATGACTAAGAAATCAGAACGAGTTTTGAGGGAAAATCAATGTGCCTACATCAATGGTAAGGTATTAAGCTCGTTTTGACAATTATTGTCCATGAGTCTTATTCCTAACTGAAAAGTTCATCTGCTTATTAGCCTCCTAACATTAACAGTATAATACCTATGGCTTTATGCACACTTTAAGAATGTGACTCTCTAGACTCTGCACAAGCCTGTATGTAGATTCAGTAAAATAAAAGAACACCAAAAAAAGTGCCTTTCACTCACTCTTAAAACATTGTAGCAATTGTTTGAAAATCCAATATATTGGGTATCTCCTCTAGCCCAAGCAGCCTTTACTATTGTGCCCCTGATGATTATCTGAAATTACTTGTACTTGAATAGGATTTTTTAAGAAATAAGAGAAGCAAAGTTTAGATAGCTTGATGACCACTTTTTTTTTGTTGGGTTTGTTGGGTTTTTTTGTGCCCGAAGAAATAATCCTTTTACTTAGTCATGGAAAATTTATATTGAAAATGTAAAAGCTGTCTATGAAATAAAATGACCAGCCAGGAACAGAAACCTATAACACTGCTACCTCTTGTCCAAATGAACAAAGGACTGTAGTGCTGAAGTGCACTGTGAGCAAAACTGAAATTCCCAGTATACCAAAAAAAAAAAAAATACACAATCTTGAGAATGCCTATGACTCCATCACTAAGGTTCTTTAAATACCTAAATCCATCCATGCCATCATCACATATATCTGTAATTATTACCACCTGGTGCTTTGCTGGAGACCAATCTGGAGCTGCCGTTCTGGTGTAATGTGTGCTGGTGCTATGAAAGACACTGCACATTGTGATGGACCACCTTGAGTTCAACAGAGCAAGAGTGAAGCAGCAGACAAGCAGGTCATCTGCTTTATATGTCATGGGTTAAACACTGGAGAATACACCTTGTGGGGCTGACCTTGGAAACTTCCCAGCTAGAGGGAGCATCATGTTGGTTTGTTTATGAACTTAGCTGGGTTGAGGGCACTGGGGATAAAGACTGGTATTCTGCAGCCTTCTGTTGAAGCTTTGCCATGCTAAATGAAAACACTAAACTGATAGGGTACAAAACGCAAGAAGTGGCATGACACATCTGCTATGCTCCCATGGCAGAGACATGGGTTCTCCATCTCAGTCAGGTTTTCCTACATAGGCAGTTCTTTCCAATGCAAACAATTGCAGACTCTGTGCATCTTATCCAAAGCTTCCTCGGTTGTTTAAAACAAGTTTGGTATCCATTTCACTGAGGCTTTTTGGATCTCTGCCATGTTTCGTAACAGATGTTTTGGTTTAAAACTAACACGTTAAGCAAGCAGAAGGAAAACATTGACAGTGTGTTGATTGCCACAATTGCATCAATAGCAAGTGCCTTCATGATTCCACTGTGTGCTCCTTGTTTGCTCTTGTACATAATGGTTAGACTGTGTTTATTTGAGTTCTCCGTTAGAGGAGCACAGATTTAGGACTTTCTTCCCCAGCTGCTACATCCTCTAGTTAGATAAAGTATGTTAACAACATTTAGGGCTTCCAATCAGAGTTATGAGTGTACTCATGACTCTCAGGGTACCATGGCTATGTTGCTCAATACCAGTCCAGGTATTATATAACAAATTCAAGTACAAAGGCCTGAGTTGTTTTTACAGCAAGGTCATAAATTAAATTCAAGGTCTCTCTTAAGTAACTCAAAACCTCCATTTTAGAGTAGAATGGATGTGGTTTGTTTCACTGATTTGATTCTTCAAACCTTACATTGTTATGTAATAGGTTGATGGTGCTTACTATTCAGTCATGACTGGAAGTATGCCAGTCACTATTGATTAGTCACCTTATTGGAAAGAGAAAGCAAGAGAAAAATGTGTTCTCCAAACCAATATTCCTGGAAGGATTAATTAGGAAACTGGTGACTGCAGCAGAAGACAGCATATCTCTGCCTGTAAGCCCATGCCCCAAATGCACATAGCTGACTTATAATGTGACTGATATCCTTGTTACTTGCAAAGAATTAACAACACAAAAGCTTTTGCCCCCTTTCTGCTTCTGAAGCATGTATAGCAGCAGCTCTCCTAGGAGAGGAAATGCACTTGAAGTTCTTTGGGAATGAGAGCTAGAAAAATACCTATGGCATGGTCTTCTTTAATTTACTTGGGATTTCTGTTAGCCTTTTTCCTGTGGCAGAAAATCTAGAAATTATATGGACTGTGGAAGGCAATAACGCTTTTTGAATTACGAGTGTGTTTAAGAATCTGTGCTAGGGAACAGCAGTCAAATTCTCTCTACTGAGTTACTCCTTGTCCATAGAAGTGTGAGCATGCCTACTTGCTCACGAGTTACAGTTTTAAGGCATTTTTTCCAGGCAACTGAGATCTCATTGGATCTTCCTGCTAACACGCCTTCTCGTTTTGTGTCTTTGCTGGTGAAGACTCCATTGGCCTGCACCGTGTGGAGAACATAAGCCACACAGAGCCTGCTGTTAGCCTGCATTTGTACAGCCCACCCTTCAATACCTGTAACACCTTTGATCAGAGGACTGGGCACAAGCACAAAGTCACAATGACCTTCTACAGCCAGTTTGGAGAAAGGACTGTCTGCGTAAGTAGGAGATGAGGCGCTCCCCACTTGGCCCTGGGCTCTGAGCCCGGTGGGGATGGGTGCAAGGGGCTGCCCTGCTGCCTGCACAGGCTACAGTGACTCTGCCCCAGGACAGGCAGAAGGGTCAGCACCTCTGCCCTTCCTGGGCCATCCCTGTCTGGGATCAGATAACACCTGTTTCCAAATACTGTTTGATTTGCCAAGCTGCACTTGCCTTGTGTGGAGTTCCCGGTTCTGTAGCCTACCTCTCTGAGCAGAGAGGATTAATGAGACATCTGCTACTAGTTAAGTACCTTCAGGAAGCAAATGATGGTAAATACAATCTAGTCAATGGAAAGTGTGAAGTAGCTACATTGTTTTGGCCAGCATTAGTCAGGTGTAACATTTCCTGTCTAAACTGTTCTGCCAAAAGGGATCACATTTCAGGTTTTAAACCTTGTAGCTTATTATTATAAATACCTCTTTAATCAATGCAATTCTTCAGAATCACAATGTTCACAAATGAGACTTGCTCTGAGGGTAAGAGTAGGTCGATTGTCTGTTGTCTGGATTCCTGGGCAATGGTGTGAGATTTTATTTGGATAGGAAAGAAATCTTATGACCATTTTTGGAGCAACCAAGCTAGGACATGTGGGAGAGGTTAATAGTACTATTCCATGGACTGGGAAACATAACTAGTTACCTGTGGAGAAAGGGCTGATTCTGGATGTTCAGCCACAGATGTTCAAACACTGTTTAATTTTGTTTGATACTGAACACTTTTGTTTTCCTTGAAGCCAGAAATTCAGTGCTCAGGAGTTTCCTAGAGTGAGTCCTTAGTCAGATCAATTTAAAGTTTTATATAGTTAAAAAGTACCACGTAAATTACTTCCCTGAAGCCTGTCACATTATCAAACAGCTGAAACACAAATTTTGACCTTCCCAAGTTTGAAAAGTCCTTGAGAAATAAATTTGAATTTATAGTTCAGATTTTAAAGGGTAATAAATGTGGAAGAATTCTGAACAAAATTAATGCAAGGATTCAGTGTTTGTTTGCTTTCTTTTTGTTTTAAGTCTTTATTGAATATTAAGTACATAACATAGTAAGTGAAACTAGATGTTTTGGCTTGGAGTGTTTCCTTACTCTGACCTGTAACTGTCTGCCAGTGTTTCGCCACTTGTGGGAAAGTGGATCTGGCTTACAGGAAAGAGCTAAATCTTAATCACTGGGTCTCTTTCATGGATTCCTGTAAATGGAATTCCATTAAAAAAGAAGGTGATAGCAAGTCTGGACCATTCAGCTGCCTAAAATGACTTCATGCTACAAAAACCTTCTGGTCTCAATGACTTGGTTTCTGGAGAACAGACTGGAAAAGCAAACTTTCTTCTGCTTACCAGATCACAGAAGGACATAGTGAGGCAGAGATCTATATTTTACAAATACCAAGAGAGTAGTGTAAAGCATAGTTGTGTATCTTTTATGCGTGAGAAGATCAGCCTAGCAAAAGCACATTCAGCTCTTCCTCTTTGTCTGAATAATTTTATAGGTAAAACACATATGTAAATCCCTTGTGATTTCTGGCCTCTGGCCATGATGAAGTCTTGATTAACATACTCTCCAGGAAATACAGAATAAGTTATATAGGTTTAATAATAAAAATAGTATGTGTGTCAAAGCACTTGCCTATGGGAGTAACTGCATGGTTCAAGTACAAACCATGAAAATAATGATAGGAAAGTTTACTGACAGAAAACTGATTTTGTCTTGGGTGTCACAGCACACCAGTTCCTTCTGCCAGGAGTTTTGCAGGGGAAGGCAGTATCTCTTTGTAGCCTACATTCCAAGCTGGACATCCAAGCAGTTTCTGTTAAATGAAGTAGAACAAGCTATCAGAGAGAGAAGATAGCTGAGGAAGTGCTCCTCAGCAGTCCCTTCTGCCATGGGCTTACTCATTGTCCCCCAGATCCACCATAGACAGGGTAACTTTGTCAGGCACATAATGCCTTCTACAAAACTCTGGCAAGGTGCACTTAAAATACAAGCTCCAAGTTTTTTTAGATGCTGAGCTATTCTGAGAGCAAAGGTCCACAAGGAGACCACGAAACAGGCAGTGACAGTCTCTTAATGCAACCTCTCCTCTTTCCTTTTAGGCTACAGGAGCGCCGCAGGAGAACAACTGAGAAGCATCAGCACACATTTGCATAAGACCTGCTGAATGTTTAACCAGGGACAGAAGACTTGCATGGCTAAGGCTGACAGCCAGATTTATTTCAATTCCTTGTACATTGGAGTACACTAGGGCAGCCTCCAGACTGCATGCAGTTTCCTCAAGCAAGTGTCAGTTATGGGACAGTAAGCTAACTAGTGCCATAACCTGCTTCAGAGGCTAGATGCCTTTTCTTAGGCTTCTGTTAGAATTAATTAGTTTGTTTTCTAATTCTAACGCCTTTTAAACTCCACCTTGGATATTTCCATCTGAATATCAGAAATAGGGTTATTAAACATGACCTGATTCTTCTCAATAGACCTATGGGGATGTATGCTCTCAATGTAATTAGTAAATATATAAACTTCTACGCTTCCAGTCACTTGTACCTCTGGGTAGTACAGTAGATACAACTAACAGCAGTGCCTTTTTTTTTTTAATTAACTCTTTTAGGTTTTAATGCTTTAGGCCATCTTTATAGTTTTGTGCATTTTTTATCTTTTTTTTTTTTTTTTTTTTTTTTTTTTTTTTTTTACAATTTAATTTGTCAGATCCTCTTTTAAATAGGAACAGAGAAATGCTTCATGCATGATGATTTTTCAAAACTGCACAGAGATTTGACTTTCAAGAAGCCTAATCATATGGAATTCAGCTAATGTCCAATTCCAAAAGTATTCTTTGTAGCTAATGAAGAAGAAAATTGAAATAAAACTGTATTTCTGCACAGATTTCAGAGTTTTCAGCATTTTTTTTCATGGTAACTAAAATCCTCATCACACTTTACCAAAATCCACATTCCTCATGAACATCTAAATCTTTTCCAAGTAATACACCATTAGGAAAGACTTCTAAAAGCTGTCAGTATGTCAAAAATGCAAAGAATCCCGAGTCAAATTAAGTTTGGGGGAGTTCTGTTACTAAGCACACTGATTTAGTTTTATGCTCCAGATTTAGTCACAGGGAAAAAATCATCTTGAAAAGAGTTAACTGTAATTAAACACATAAAAATCAGCAAAGCTGCCTGCATGGAGGCTATCCCATTCGTTTAAAGCAGTTAATAGCATGTTCTCAAGTAGGGAATGTGTAGAAATTCTCCCAGTCTGGTAGGTGACTGCTGGTTAGTCAGACAGCAGTTTAAATTGTATCCATATTGGGTTAAGATGAATCACATATTTCCCTCTGTATTGACAAGCCCAGGAAATGTTTATTTTATGTGACCCCATTTCCAGAGAGACTATGTCAAATTTTTAAAATATGTTTGAGCAGTGTAACTGTCTTTGAATTAACTTATGCCTTGTTGTGAGTGTGGCAGCATGAGAGATGAGCTGAGGCTGGCAGTCTGGCTGTCAGGCTCGTGCAGAGTCACCTACAGCTCAGGACTATGTCCAGCTGGATTTTGAGTATCTGCAAGGCACTACAGCCTCTCTGGGTTTTTGGTGTTCTATCACTCTCATGGTAAAAAAGGCTTACATTTAGACAAAATGTCCTGCCTTTCTGTTTGCACCCAATGCCTCTTGTTCTCCTCATCCTTCTTGCAGAAAATTAGCAGATTCACTTAACTAATTTCAGTTACATCAGGCTTTTGCTTACTAGGTAGAACTAAAGAGCAAACTCTATAATTTGTCGACCACATGTTCAGTCAGGCCAGGGGGAATGACAGATGAGAGAGACAGCCAAGAAGACACAGTAGTGATGAGAGCAGCTAGCTGTTCTGGGATGCATACACACAGAACCCCAGATAGTACTCCAGCTAGTCACTCATACGCCTAGTAAGTGAGACAGAGGAAATACAGGCAGAAGTGATAACAACAATCTACATGAATTGTCCCAAATACCATTTAGCCACAGTAAGCATGACATTGTACACTGCATAGAGTAATACAGGAATTCAAGTGTTTCAGAAGAAGGTGCCTACCAGGTATTTGTGTACTCCACACCTCAACATATGGCAGCTAGCCTGCCCAACATAAAGGGTAGAAACACAGGAAACCTCAAGAGGAATGTTTAATTGGGTCCAGAGTCCTTAGAACACACACCACAGCCACCACCTTTGCTACTTCCTAAGCATTAGCTATGCATGAGGTGCTCTGAACAGCACAAGCATAAAGCTACTATCTACTAAAAGCAATATTCAATCAACAAATATCAAGTAATATAATCATCTTTCCACTCACACAAATATGATCATATAACTTGCTTAAAATACAGGAACCAGTAATAGCAAAATAGTATTTGCACACTACTATGGCTGAACAGCCAATGTATTAAATCGTCTAGCATGTGAATGTGCCTTAGCTTTGGAATAGTGTTAACTGGCCATCTGATGAGGTAGCAGTATGCTGTAGGCTGACAATTAGATTTTATTGGGCAATGAACAGATGTTTAGCATTTCATATGCTTTTACCCAAGGGCGCTATTGAACAGTGTCACTGTAAATTGAAGAGAGTTTCAGCATTACCTGGGTTACCACTAAGATTGTTATGTGGTGAGAGATACTGCCTCAACTCATCCAGGCTGGTAACAGCAGGAGGAACTCAGCCTAAATATGATTTGATGCATTAACCAAGACTTCAGTGAAGGAGCTCCAACAGAAAGACAGAGGGAGGCAAAGTAATGCCAGGAGTGGAGTGATGTGCAATATTTACATAAACTCAGCAAATTCCAAGGGTGTGGTGTTTTTGATTTGGAGTGTTGTTACTATTAAAAAATTAGCAAGATGTTTATCAAAGACATGTTTGAGATGGCAAAGCTCTATAGCAAAGAGTCACTGGGAAGGCATATGCCATATGCAAGGGCAAAGATGCCAATGAGGGCTCTCCAGGAATGGAAAGGCCATCTCAGTTTATTTGGCTGTGGCTGACAAGGGCTAGATAAACTGAGACTATAGACCTGTTATGCATAACCAGCAAGTGAGCAGCTCTTTTGCCTCAAATGCCTCTAGCAGAGATTATTGCTCAACGAGGGTCCCTTGCTACCTAAAGAGACTCTTGATGTTCTTGTGGATACTTGCCCCTAGAGTTAAATCTTGGCAAACACAAATCAATTGTTTTGCTATTTAAGCCTTGAGTCTCTTGATGTTTGAACATTGTCCATCATTGTCCATTGTTGATGTATAGAGGAACACAGAACCAAAAGCCACCCTATACATAATCCTTCTTTCATTACCATTTTTTTCCTTAAACCACAAAGACACAAGATGTGCTATTCACTAGCTAGTCCCTGTAGTTATTTTTTCACACTGCTCTCATGACTGAGAGAAAGCTGTGTTGCAAGAATATAGCCTTCTCAAGGGTAAAAGAGGTGACCTGCCTACAGTGACTGTTTGCAGAGACAAACAGAACAAATCAAGCAGAAGCTCAGTGCTTTTCAACCATACCATATACTCTGCTCTTGCCAGTTTAGCTCATGAAAGATTTCACTGTCCTTAAATGTCAGTCTTATGTTCTGTGAATGGAGAGTAATTTCTTTCACCATGTCTGGTAAAGGAAGCAAAACCCCCATGGATTAACTGTGCAGATTTTCAAGACTAGTTCTGACATTTGTAGCTCTTATGCAACTAAATCAATAATTTTACCTGAAATCTTTGAACCCTGTGATGCTTAAGACTACAGCATATATTTTCAGGGATGAAATGGAATGACCTCCAAAATAGGGATACACAAACTCTTCTGACCTAATTGATCTTTTGTGCATGCCACACAAAAAACATTTGAGGGTTTTTTTGACAAGAAATGAAAACATCTTATGCCTTTTCCAGATCTGTCTCCCCTTTGCTTTTACTAATTCACTAGAAACCTTTGGTACAGAAAGGTAAGTACATTATTTATACATATATAGATATAGATATAGATATATAGAGAGATATATATCTCTCTTAAAACTTACCTTCTTGACATTGAAGGTGTACCTCTTTACTCTCTCATTGCAGGCTGAGAGGAACACATAATGTTAAAACCAACTCTATTTGCACTTCACTTCCCAGGAAAAAATTCTTTCCTGAACCACAAAGATGAAGTGTATATGCTGTTCATCGACTCCTGATTCGGTTTATTTTTAATGCCTGTTGTGTTGTTTCAGGCCCCTGTGCTTTCTCCCAGGTTTAGTTCAGCTGTTTGGTTGACCTGTGGTGATGAAGAACATTTTAAAATATGATGGATAAGTGTGAATTAATGTATTTCTTAGGAGATGAAACATCATTAACCTACTTCTTTAATTCACAATGATTACAGAAACAGCATAAGAGGATTGTGTGGCACATGCTACCCTTATCTGGCCAATTTCCCTGAGATCCATGAATCACATGAATCACAAAGCTACCATGAGAAAAATATATTGCCTGACCAGAAAGCAAAATTTCTGCTGCAAAATACAGCTACATCTTGTTCTCTACTCCCACCCAGTATTCAGAATCAGATCCTCAGGATCTCCTGGTTTTCTTTTTTCATTTGCCTTTTTTACCTTTTTTTTTTTTGTCTTACAAAATCACATTGTCAATGCAAAGTGTTTGATTTTCATTTTAAGTCATTGTCTTGGGAAGCTCTGAGAGCCACAGTCAGAGAAAGAAACCTCCCCTTCTCCCCCTAGCTGAAATTTTGCCCCAGCAAAATATCCCCTATTAACTAGGAGCACTCTGATCAAATTTGGTTGCTGAAAAATGCTTCTTCCCTTGTTTCAATCTGCAGGAAGGTATACAGCTTTTCCATTAGGAGAATTGCTAAACTGCTGTGCGAGTTCGTGAAGCCAGGTGCAGAAACCTGTTGATCACTCGCTCAGTGGATGGCCCTAAAGGTGCCTAAGCATAAGGACAGGCATTTCTGAGGGACAGAAACAGTTCTGGACATTAGTGAACTACTCTGTAAATGCTGAGGGTCTGTTGCTACTGCAAAGACCTAGTTCATGCTGAGATCTGGTTATATATGCTTATGGAGCACATGGTTTGAACCTTTCACTGGAATATTGGAAAAACCTACTGGAGGCACCCAGACCTGTGGCATGTATTTATTCCTCTGTCATAGGTAGGGCTTTGAAAGAGCCTAAGATTGCTTAGATGAGAATATTTACCAAGAATATTCATAGGGAGAAAACATGCACTTGTAAAAGTCTTCTTCATAGGAAATGTGCAAAATGGTCCTGTTTAAACCCAGATGCTGGAGGAAACCTTGTCATCTTCTTGGGCTAGAGCTTTGTCCAATCGAGGCTGGAATAATTGTGCTGTTGTCAACCAAACAAAAATGTTTTACACTGATTGAAACAGCCATTACTAGGATTGAGTATTTATTTCTGGTTACTTGTATTACCTGAGATTTCAAACTATGACCCTCCATGAACATGGTTCACTTATGAGTGAAGAGGTGCTGCTTGAGAAAACAATCAACCATTTAACACCCATTTATGGTTTCATGTCCACCAGGAGTATTCAGAATTAGAGTCTTCAGACAACAGACAAGTATGAGAGGAAAAGCTTCTTCCTACATCATTGCATCAGTGAAAACAAATAGCACACATCTCTGCTTTTGGACTTCTTTTTGTTGCTGCATTTCAATGTAGATAGAGATTAAGAAGGTCCTTTAATTTGCTCTACCTATTTTGGGGTTCTGATATCTTGCAAAAATGAAAACCCTGTGTTAAGGCTCATAATCTGAATTCTGGCCCCTGCTCTTTTGGCACAAAGCACTTGAAAAAAACAGCTTAAGTAATTTTAAGACTTCCAAACTTGGAATTTTTGCTA